TCGTGAAGCAGGCTCTGTTGCATATGCTGGATGAATTTCAAATTCTTACGCCGGCACAACACGGTTTTCTTCGCGGCCGTTCTTGTGTGACCAACATGCTCACTGCTCGTCATCACTGGTTAGCCGCTGTTGACGCTGGGCATGCTGTTGATGTTATATTCGTGGACTTTAGTAAGGCGTTCGATAGGGTAGACCACACTGAACTGAAAAAAAAACTGCAGGGCTACGGCATAGGAGGGGATTTACTTCGTTGGCTCAAATCGTTCCTGCATGACCGACGCTGGAAGGTGAGAGTAAACGACCACTGTACAGACTGGTATACGTCACCTAGTGGCGTACCTCAGGGAACGGTTTTGGGTCCAGTTCTGTTTCTACTACATGTGAATGATCTACCAGTGGTCCTACAGTCGGCAAGTCTGTTATTCGCTGATGATCTTAAGATATGGAAACCTATTGAGTGTGACGAAGACCGAGTGGCTCTTCAGCATGACTTAGAACGTCTGGTGGCCTGGTCCTCTGAAAGGAGGCTTCCGATCAACCCGGCCAAATCAGAATACATATGCCTGGGAAAGCCAACTTCAGATCGTGTATATCATCTAGATGGCCAAAAATTGAAATCGGTCTCATCAATCCGAGACTTGGGCGTTCAAATCCATTATGATTTAAAGTCGAAGGTCCACACGAGCGCTGTGTATAAGAAGTCCCTTCGCATTTTGTGCGCATTGAAGCGAAGTTTTTCGATGTGGACGGAAGAGTTAGTTTTAAAACTGTATCCCACCATGATCCGGCCTATATTGGAATACGGTGCACCAGCTTTCTCCCCACTTACGAAGCCGAAGCCCGAAAGCTTGAACGTGTCCAAAACCTCGTTACAAAGATGGTTCCCAGTCTGCGGAGTCTTTCTTATTCTGAGAGATGCAGCAAACTGAAATTGCTCACACTTGAATACAGACGTCTCCGGATTGATCTCATCTATGTTTTCCGTGTTTTGTGCCTAAACAATTTTCCGCAGTTGATGTTCTTGTTTGACATTCCAACAACGAACATCACCCGAGGACATCAATTTAAACTTACTGTCACACGCATGGACAATGTGCCTCATGGGTCGCCGCTTTGTGTCATTTTGGAATCGTTTACCGGCAAATGTCGTTCAGTCAGAAACAGTTCAAATTTTCAAACGTAATTTGGATGAACATTTATTTGATTGCAATCAAATTGCCCAGCTCAGCGAACAAGCCAACGACCACCAACTACGATACCTGAGCTACCAACATTTTCCTCTATAGAGAACATTTATCTGATCTACGCTTCTGTGAGGATATCTCCTCCGCTCTGCTCCCGAAAGTCAGCCATTCCTCTAGCGGACCAAGGGCGTACATGGAATGACATTCGCACTTTTTTCTCCATGGAGTGTACACAGAATTTTTCTTTTGTTCCAAATATATGATTCATTCAATGATTCAATGATCTCTCTATTAGGCGCCCTTTATTGAGCGTTCAAACCACCTCTTACTCGCTCCAGTATATCCAATACAAAGATGACATTCATGGCATGACCTGTCTACCTCTATGGTGCACTGTGCTATATTGAATACTTTGACGCAACAGCTACGGATCTGGTTTATAAAAAAGAGAACAGCCAGACGATTGAGGCACAGAACGGCCAATATCCATAGCCTGCATGTGATTGGTCAAAAGATGAGCTGACGGCCGGCTCTGCATTAGGTCAACCTCTGATTGGTCGAAAATTGTGGACTAAATAGCCATTCGATCGCCGGTGTGACTGCTTAAACTACTGATGAAACAGGCAAGAAACGCCTGGCCTAGTGTCAAAGCGTATTAGGAATCTAACTTCTCACTCCTTCATTGTGTCTGAAAATATCATCAATGCTGTTACTGGCAGCGCGGTACGTTCGAAATCGGTTTGGTTTTTCCCCCGTGCAAATTCGTGAAAAAATTTTTCGTTGTTCAATCTACTCACAGAGTACACACGAGTAATTGTTGAATTTTATTACTCTAACAAAACATTTGAGTGATAGCCTTTTATATTTTGCGCGCACTTCCTATTATACATCTAGTCCGAAATACGAC